GAGGAGATGGAGTTAAGGTCTGAAGAGGCTGGTTGGCTAGAGTTTACAGGGCGGAGTGCCAGAGATGAAAGGGCTGCATAGAGAGAAAGTTCTGGAGATTTTCAGAGGGTCTCCCCCAAGTGGTCCGCTCAGTGTTGAGCACTGCACGCCTTGGGGTCCTGACTCTGCCCTTTCTATCAGTCTGTATGGCTGTATTGAGCACCTACCATGCACCCACCTCTGAGGAGGGATGTGGGAAAGCAGAGCCAAGGCAGGTCTGTTCCTGCCCTTGCAGGGCTCCCAGTCCAGCTGAGGAGAGAAAGCACACTCCCCTAACAGACACGCAGTGCCCGGAGATCTGAGCTGAGGGCCAGAATGGAGCAGAGGCAGATGTGAAAAAAGGGCCAGCTGCTCTGAGCCGCACCCTCCCCGCCCCGTCCCCAGCACTAGACAGATGCGGGGGCATGGTGATGTGGCAGAAACAGCCAGCTCCCCAGGGCCTGGGCTGCGGCCGAGTCTTAGGTGGGGCCTGAGGTTGGTGACTCGAGGAAGCAAAGCCTGCTGTCCCTGGGACGGGGAGAGAACCCTGGACCAGGAAATGGGGGCTGGTGTGTGATCTTAGAGGTCCCTGCCCTTTCTGGGTCTGTTTCCTCATCTGCCCCTGAGGATGCTCCTTCAGCTCCTTTTGCTCTAAGGGAGGTTCTTCTCCTCCAGCTACTGCCAAGAGGAGATGAAGAAGCACCTGGAGTTTGTGCAGAGGTGGGGGGCAGGCGACGACTGATGGTCCAAGGCAACATGGGGCGAGGCAAGCGCTTTCCTCCAACCCAGCTTCTCGCTTTTATCTCCCCAACGCCCTCACCCCACTGCACCCCAGGCTATTTTTGTTAGTTCCTAAATTTCATGCTTCCTGCTCCGTCCTACAGTTTCTCCAGGGATGATTTAGGAACGGAGAGTGGCAGCCATCTTGGCAGGAAGGTGTGATTCTCACACCCGGGCGGCCGATCTTCATCCTTGATGGTGCACTTTGCTTCCTGTGCGGACCCATCCTACGATGCCCTCCAGAACAGTCTGGCTGTGCCGCCTGTGCACACATTTCAGTCACACAAACTCCCCAGAAGCACGTGGCCTCCCTCCCAGCACACCCTCCTGTATCCCGAAGGCCTCCCCAGGGACTCATCATCCCAGCTTACGGATGGGAAAACCGAGACCGGTGAGGAATCTCGGCTCACCCTGCTAGGAGAGGAAGGAAAGCCGTGGAGGGATAGCACGCAGAGCAGGCTCGGTGTGTGGTGATGACTCTGTTTTGTGTTTCAGGAGAGAGAACCCAGCGGTGCCAGTCTCTGTCAGCAGGAGGCCTCCCCTGACATTCTCCATCCTCCCCACACCAGCCATGCTGCCTCCCCCTCCGCCCTTCCCCTCATTCCCTCCTCAACCCCAGCTCTCCCTTCTCTCCCCAGGTGCTGTCCAGAGTCTACCCTTGGTGCAGCAGCTGCCCCACTCCCTGGGGACCCAGCTTCTGCTCAGAGGAGACCCCTAACCCCTTCACATCCCTGCACCCGGCCCCTCCCAGGAGACTGCAGCTGAGGCTGTAGAAACAGCACCCCTCCCCATCCTCTCTCAAGCAGACTGAGCCCTGGGAGGCTGAGCAGTGAGGGCAGCCTGAGGCCTTGGGTACAGCCCCTGCACCTCTCAATCTGCTTTCCTGGTCTCTCTGCAATGCCCTCACCTCCTGTTCCAGTTCCTCATCCCAACTCCAAGACCCCCCTGAGTCCCAGCCTCCTCCTGATGCCCCTTCACGCTCCAGCTCCATCCTGCTCTGACTCTCCGGCCTGGTCGGCGCAGGGCCTTCCCTGCAGTGCCCTCTCCTAGTTACTTCATGTGCAGAGGAGGGGTTCTGCCCACCCCTGATCATAAGGCTGGCCCTGCCTTCAGGATCCTCCTGCAGAGGGAGGCCACTCAGCAGTCAGACACCCCCAGGGCACATGGGGTCTCAGGTAGAACTGAGGGAACTCAGTCCTGTTCAGAGAGCAGCTAAAGAAGCTGGAGTCCCTCAGAAACATTTCCCATTTCCCCCGTGGAGTCTGCAGAGTGTGAAGAATGTGTCTGTGTGTAAAAGAGAATGAGTGTGTGTCTGTGTGTGCGTGTGTCTGTGTGAGAAGCCATCCGTGTTTGTATGAGAGGGGCATGTATGGTGGAAGGGAGTGAGGTTAGCCCCCACAACACACATTCCCATATACCCTTCTTGGATCTCGGGGGAGCTGAGGACAGCATAGGTTGGGCGCCACCTGGTGGCCAGGGGCTGCACTACAAGCCGTCATCCTCATCACCCGTTTTCTCATGCCCCTCCTGGCCCAGCAAAGCAGGCACACAGAGCTGATCCTAGATCCCTCTCTGGAGCCTCAATCCACTTGCTCACCACCCTACCCGCCATGACAGTCCTGCAGAGACCGACTGAGACCCTGCCCACCTGAGTCTCCTTTCCCTATCCTAGAGAAAGAGCCCTTAGAGGGGAGTGAGGCAGGCAGGGTTCACACCCCAACCTTGGCTGATTATTTAACCTCCCTGAACCTCAGGCTACTTGGCTACAGAATGAGATAATAGTACCTACCCTACAGGACCATTGTGAGGTTTTGTGTAAAATGAAACCTTTAATTTGGGAGGGCAGGGCAGCTACAAGAAGCCATGGGGCCAAGTCTTGTGTTCTCTGACCTGTGAGGGCTGCCTGCAGGCTCCATGCAGAGACACAGCCCGCTTCCCATCCATCCTCCCATCCATCCTCTCACCCATCCTCTCATCCATCCTCCCATCCATCCTCTCACCCATCCTGCCATCCATCCTCCCATCCATCCTCCCATCCATCCTCTCACCCATCCTCCCATCCATCCTCCCATCCATCCTCTCACTCATCCTCCCATCCATCCTCCCATCCATCCTCCCCTGGCATTCCAAGCCACTGCCCTGCCCATCTTCCCAGGGAGCTCAACTCCTGCCAGAGGCTCCACCTAATACCTGCTTACAGGTGAGAGTGGCGCTGAGCAGCCACCCAGGGCCATTCATGGGGCCGCATGGACCCCACCTTCTGGGCCACCCCCAGTCCTCCCTCTGCCCTCGCCCCCTCCAATTGGTCACCAAGTTTCACCAGTCCCTCAGGTCTTGCATTCCTCCCTCCCTCGCCCAGCCCAGGGCACCGAGCATCAGCCCTAGAATGATCTCTGCCCAGCCCCTCCCCTTGCAGTCCTCTCTGCTCTCCAGCAGGATCTTTCTAACATGCATGTCTGAGCCCTTCCCCTATTGAAACCTTCCCCTGGCTCCCCACTGCCCATCAAATAAAGCCCAGCTCCACAGCCTGGCATGCGAGGCCCTCCATGATCTGGCCTTATCTCCCCACCCACAACACCCATTCCCCAAGAGCCAGTCACTCCCCTTCTCTGGACATTTGTCGGAGCAGTTCCTTTTACCAGCAGCAGCTGGCTGCCTTTGCCCGTGGAAAAACACCTGCTCATCTTCCAACCTCACTGTGGTTCTTCTCAGGGTTATGATCCTGTTGGGAGCCCGTGGCCAGGTGTCCCATAGGGTTGTCATGGCCTGCATCTGACTTTGGATCTGCCTCTCCCACCAGGCTCTTAGACCCTCCAGGCCAGGAACAAGGACAAATTTAGCTCTGTGTCTCAGCACAGGGTCCCACGTGCATGAGGAAATATCTGTGAGTGGTTCACTCAATTTGGTGGCAAGGAGGGATGTCAGCATGGGCCTCGAATGGGATTCGATGGCCTCAAGGGAGGTTTGGGCTGGGGACAGACAGCAGGTGCACAGGAGGGGGAGTGAGGCCCTGTGTTGTGCTTCCCCTTCGCCCAAAGGCTCGTGGAAGAGGGACACACATGACATTCAGGGCTGGGGTCACACACAGAGGAGCACCTCCGTCAGCTCACAATGATGCTGGAGTCAGCCGGGCACCGTTAAAATAGCCACCCATCAGCCTCGGCCAGGAGGACCGCCTGGGGCCCACCAGTCAGCCTGGTCTTGTGCTGTGAGAGGACAGAGACAGACGGGGGAGCCCAAAGCAGAGGCCGGGCAGGGGCGGGGCCTGGACCCCACGCCCCCAGGGGAAGGCTGGAAGCCCTGAGACCACTGAGCCCAGAGGAGCAGATTCCAAACCACGACAAGCTGTGGGGCAGGAGATGCAGATGCTCCGTGGTCCCAAAGGCAAGGCTGCCCCCCGGCGGCACTGTGGGGGGTTGCAGGATGGCCCTGTCCATCTCCTCCTGGCTCTCCCTTCTTTCCTCCCCCAGAAAAGGAGATCCCAGTGCCCGGCCCTTAACATATCAACCTTTACTGACCTGGAGAGATGAACAGGGAGAGGAGCTGGGAGGGGTGTAGGCAAGTGAGGGCATGGGGTCTGGAGACTTTGTCAGTCAGAGCCTCCTCATGGCCCCCAATCTGGAGTTGGCCCTTCTCTGTCGGTGCAGAGGCAAACACCGTCCCAGCCAGGAAAGCAGGGGACTGACTCTACAGACACAGCTCAGGGCCGCATCTGGTGTAAAGTCAGACTCATGGGGGACCCCTTTTGGCAGGACTCAGAGAAACTGGGATGTGGGACTTATGGGGACACAGACAGGCACCCCTGAGGCCAGGAGGGGGTTCAGAGGCCCAGGCCCTGGCTGTATGGCCACTCATGACCAGTTGGCTAGCAGACAGAGGGTCTAGGAGGAGCTCCAGGCCATCTCCTCCAGGCAGCCTCTCTGATTGCTTCAGCCCCTCAGTTCTCCCTCTCCAGTGCACAATCTCTGCCAGCCAACATGTCCTCTCACTGCTCCATGCCCAGGCCTCCTCATCTGCCATCCACCATCTGGCACAGGACTGGCCCAGGGTACCCTAACAGGTCTATGACTCTCCCAGAAGAGGGGCTCGGCTCCAGGGATGGGGGCTCCGGTAGCCAGGGAGTTCAAAGGGCATTTGCCGCCCCCAATTCTGTTTCCCCCCAACCTTATCCACAAAGTCTGCACACCACCCCAGGGGGGAGGGTTGGTAGAAAGAAATAGATTTATTCTCATGTACAAAGCGGTCAGCCCACGGGACCATATACAACAGTTGCACAGAGTCCTAGAAAAACGCATCTCTCTAAAGGCAACTCAGAATAGGTAAGGCAGGTGGCCCCCCTCCCCCCACCCACACCACGTACAGAACAAAACAGAGACGGGAGAAGCCAGCAGCCAGGCTGACCCAAGTGGCCTGGCCCTATGGGGTCTCCCAAGCCCCGGGTCACGGGTGGATATGGCCTTGAAGAGGTGAGAAGCCCTGCCAGGGCTGAGGCCAGGTCCTTCTCTGGCTGCAGGGATCGGGGTAGGGCCTTGGGCTAAGGGGGTGCTCTCTGGGACCAGTGAGGGACTCAGGATGGGCTCTCCACCCTAGGGCAGCAGGCACATTCCCCGGCCTCTCCTGGGACTCCACAGAGCTGTGGGGACTTTGATCTAAAAGGGGTCTTAGAGAACGGATTGTCTCACCCTCCTGTTTCGCCCAGACAGGGGGAGGGACGTGCCCAGGGTCACACAGCCAGGGGCGAAGCCCTGCTGACCCACCAGGGCCTGTCTCCCAGCCCAGGGTCCTTCCCGCTCATAATTCCCATCCTGCTTTCCTCCTGAGCCCCTCTCCCCAGATATGCCCCTCCAGCAGCTTCCTCGTGGGGCCCCTGCGTCTCCCCAGGTCCCCATCCCCACCATAAGTGTAGTGGCTATCGTCAGGGGCACCTGAGGCCCTGGGGTTATTTCCAGTCCTCCAGCAGAGCTGACGACTGTTTCTGAGGCCACCCTCTGCTCTCAGATGACCCACCTTCTCCCCTCATGAGGATCCTGGAGAGGGGAAAGGGCACAGATCCGGTGGGGCAGGAATGGGCCCAGGGGAAACCATCCAGGTTGCCTCCGAGAAGGAGTGGCTTGGCGAGGACTGGCCAAGGTGTGGTCAGAGGCGCAGAGCAGGTCCCCCTGCTCATTGGTCACCCCTGTGCTCTCAGAGGACAAATCACAAAGTCTCGGTGAGGCTGAAGTCTTGCTCCCATTTACAGACGAGAAAGCTGAGGCCCGGGAAGGTCGGTCCTTGCCCGGGGTCACACCAGACGTCCTGGTCTAGATCCCAGGACCTGTGGCTCTGGTCCCAGTGCATCCAGGCAGACCAGTAGAGGGCTGTGGGAGGAGGCCTGGGCGGGGATGGGTCCAAGAGGGGCTCACTCAGCATCAAGGCTGCAGCAGCCATTGACGGGGCCCCTGGTGCCGTCCAGCTGAGGCACCTCATACTCCTCGTCCAGGAAGTCCAGCGAGTTGTTGCTGGGGAGGCCGCGGATGGTGAACTTGTGGGACACCTTGGTCCAGTGCTCACGGTTGGAGGCCACGCGTTCATACAGCTCTGCGGCCTTGGGGAACAGGTCCTGCAGCAGCCTGAGGGCATGGGGGAGGGTTAGAGGTCAGAAGTCAGACCGTGAGCAGCAAGAAAGATTAAGGCTGTACCCCAGGGAGAACTTCCACAAGAGTGTGAGGTGCAGGACTGGACGCTCAAGGAGGACACGACAGCCTCTTTCCATAGTGGACCATGTGAGGGGCCCATTTAGGGGCAAAGTAGGAGACAGCTGTGCCCAGAGGCAGTGGGGTGGATCAGATGGAGCTGGTTCAGGCCAAGCCCAGCACCTGTGTCTGCTGTGGTGGCCACAGCCAGCCCGTCCCACCCCACCCTCTCTGTGCAGGGTCCCCAGCAGGCTCCCCATGGAGGGTCCCCGCGAGCTCACTCACTTGTAGATGGGCATCGCGATGTGCTCCATGAAGCTGATCTGCAGCTCGGGGATGTAGGCCTTCTCACGGTCCATCATCTCCATCGGCCTGTTGCCCATGGCCTTCTCCTGCGGGCACCAAGTTGTCAGACCTGCCCCTCTTCTGCCTCCGTCAGCCACCAGGGTCAGGATAATGCAGCCCCCACCCGGCCCCAGGCCAGGAGCCCTCTCCCACTGGGGACACCCTGAGGTCACTCCCCACATACCAAGTCTCCCTGGGAGAAGAACTCTTTGTAGATCAGCTCCTGAAAGGCCAACACTCTCGTCACATCCTGCCAGTGGGATCCATCCACCCGAGTCCTCTGACAGCCCACTCCCAAGGGGGCAAAACGAGGCATCCCTCAGCCCCACCTCAGGGCCTGTCCTCACCATCCCCAGCCTGGCAGGGGGTGGCCCCAGATGGCGAGGAGTGGCTGGGTTCTGGCCCACCTTCCACCAGCCACTGACTTGCTGTGTGACCCCAGGCAAGTCCACGTCCCTTTCTGAACCTCCCCATTTGTCACTCTGAGGTCATTTGTCACCCTGAGGTGGTCTAGCCTTCTGTCTCCCCAAAATACAGCCAGGCTGAGCTCAGCACAGAGAGGGTGTTCAGGCTCAGGGAGCCACACCCAGCCGGGCCGAGTGTGCAGCCTGCGCCTTCCCAGGGAGGGGTGGCACTTACTGCGATCTTCCTCGTGGTCTTCCAGCCCTTCGTCTGGTCAGAGAGGTCACAGGAGGTCATAAGGAGGCAGAGGAGGAGGCTGTGGTGCTGCTTGTTGGTTCGGTCATAGCCCACTGTTGGGGAGAGGATGGGGTCAGAGAGAGGCGCCAGCCTCTTAGCTCCCTCTCTCTGAGGGCAAGGACCCCAGGGCCCACCCCAAAGTGGTTCAGGGAATTCCAGCCCCTGGATGCGAGCCACAGGGCTGGTGCTGTGTCTGCCTGGGGGGTTGATGCTGGTGGGGGTAGGTCTGAACCCCAGGGGATGCTGCTCTCCAGGCAAATCCCTGTCTTGGTTCTTCCCCAACCCCGAGGCCCAGGACTAAAGGCAGGCACCTTCAGCCATCTTCTGGAGGTCCTTGAAGATACGGAGGTGGTGGGCCAGGTCCGTGGCCAAGATGATGTCCCGCATCAGGTCCAGCATGCGCTGATAGTCCTGGGCCGGGGTGGGAGGTGGAGCGGGGATAGCCATCACAGCCTCCGGCCAGACACCCCACCCACTCCCCTGGCCCTGAGGAGCCTCCGCCCCTTGGCTCCCTCTCCTGTCTCAGGCCAGCTCCCGGCTCCCACGCCCTCGCCCTCACCCCAGCCCCATCACCTTCCGGGAGAAGTGGTCGAAGATGTTGCAACCATGGGTGTTGAGGATGGCGATGGCCTGAGCGAAGTGGTGCCTCTGGGGGGAGAGGAGTGATGGAGCCCGGCCGGGCGGGGGGCTCCCCTCACCATGGACCCCGAGAGAGGGAGCAGGCCCGGCCCCGCCCCAGCCCCCAAGGTGAGCGGAGCAGGCAGAAATGGGGAGTCAGGGGTCCCAGGTCCCTTTCTGGGCTCTGTTTTGACCCTCTGTGTGACCCTGGCCAAGTCTCTGCCGGCTCTGAGCCCCAGAGGCCTCAGCTGTCACATGGAGGGACATGACGAGATACACTCTGAGGGCCTCTCGAGCTGGAACAATCCTGAAATGACTCCTCGGAGTCCTCGACACTAATTCATGCAGCCAACATTTGTTTGCTGACAAAGAAAGGCACTGAGGAGATGAGGGCAAGGCCCTGGCTCCTGACGCTGAAGGGCTGTCACTCGGAGGAGGAGCAGGCTGACCCCAGGGCGCGGGGGGCAGAAGCAGGGCTGCCACCAGGCCTCCTAGGAGGGAGTGAGCCCCTCGTCTCTGGGGGTATACAAGCAGGGGCAGTCTCTGGAGGGGTGTTGCATGGGGCAGCATGGGGCAAGGTGACCTTGGAAGTTTGGCTCCCATTCTGTGCCACACCCTGTGCCAAGTGCAGGGAACTCAGAGATGTCTCGGATTTTGTCCCTGCCCCAAGGAGCCCCCATCTAGGGGGGTGCGGCAGGCCCAAACCAAACAACCTAAGGCACAGCTGTGTGTGATGGGCATGAAGCCTGCCCCAGGCTTGGCAGGGAGGGGGTGCTGGGGTGTTCCCAGACACGCAAGGAAAAACATGCTAAATACAGTCCTCCCTTCGCAAAGCTGGGCTCGGGCAGAGCCTGCAGCCGGACTCGCACCTGCACCCCTCCAAGCCCATCCAGGAAAAGGAGCCAGACATGCCCCGAGGGGGGCTGCAGCTCTCACAGCCTCTCTGGAGAGCGGGGTTTGGGAACGGGAGGAGCTGGTCACAGTCTAACTTTGCAAGTCACTGGCCTTAAGGGGATGATGGTGACGGGATATCGGGCAGGATGGTACCTCCATGACAGAGCCCTCGGAGCTGTAGAGTGCGGCCAGCACAGATTTCTGGAAAAGCCCAGGAAGACTCCATCACTCCTCACATAGATGACCGCCTGCCACATTAGGCCCAGCTTCACCCTGCTCCTCCCCGCCCCCCGCATCTCGAGCCCAGTGCACAGCCTGGGAGAGCCACCTCCTGGCTCTAAGACCAGCTCCTGGTCTCACAGCTCCCACCACTCCTCAGGCTGGAGGGGTGAGACCCCCAGATACACCCGGGAGGGCGCCCACTGTGAGGAGGGCAGGGTCTCACCGAGGCCACCTGGAAGGAGTTGTTTGTGCCTCTGTGGTCCAGGTCGTGACACATGCAGGAAATAAACAAGGCAAAGATCTCCATGTCCCTGGGTGGGAGACAGAGAGGAGAGGCTCAGCCACAGCTCCCTCCTCAGCCTCCAGAGGAAGGACGGCTGGAGGAGATGTCCACCCAGACAGAAGCTCGGGACACTGGGGTCCCCTTCCTGGAAAGAAGCCCTGGTTTGGACTTTGGCTGGCCCGTCACTCCCTGGGCATGCAACTGTAAGCAACTCCCGCCCGGAAAATGGGGCTATGAACCCTCTTCACCAGCAGCTAAGAGGGTCCCATGAGGTGGGGCATGTCAAGTGCCCGTCCCGGGAAGGGGACCCCAGCGGCTACCACATGGGGGAGTGCCGCCACTCACTCGAGGTAGTTGGTGAGCTCCAGGTTCTTGTAGAGCAGGTAGCAGAAGTGGGAGACAGAAAAGGCGTGCATCCAGTTGTGGTAGGGGGGGTCCCGGTAGCCCTTCTTCACCATCAAACAGAACCTGGGGGAGGAGAGAGGGCAGCAGATGGGCCTCAGGCTCTCCTCCTCCAGGAAGCCCTTCAGGCTCTGCCCTGCCCCATTCCTTCCTTTTCCTCATGGTCCCAGTGTCTGGGGATTGCCTCTCACTCATGGATCCTCCCCTCCCCCACAAGACTGGGCCTCCCCTAGTCGTCCTCAGATACCCCTTCCCAGAATGCTGGCGACGACAGGTGTGAGACTAGCAGACAGAGAGAGGCAGGGACCAGGGCTGTCTGCACTCAGAGCCGGGGGGTGGGCTGGGGGCACACACCGGGCCAGTGTCGGGCAGTCAATTTTGTAGTTGTTGATGAAATTCATGTCCTGCAGCATGCTCAGGATGGCCTGGAGAGGGCAGAGGGAGGGGGCAGAGGAACTGTCAGTTTCAAGATGGGGCCCCTGTCTTGGTCCTCCTTGAAGCCTCCAAAATTTTGGAGTCTTAGAACTTGAGATCTAAACTGGAGAACCATAAAATGGTAGAGCCGAGCATTCTCAGAGCCATGAACTTTCAGAAATACGGGAGCTAAGAACTCCTGGAACCAAGCTCACACGAAATCTTAAAAAAACAGGGAGGGAGGTGCCAACCCGAGGCCACGCGCCCTGGGCATCTTTGGTGCTGGAGCAGCCCTCGGCGATCATCTAGTCCTGGCCCTGGCAGGCCCTGTGGTCCATGCTGGCAGACCACATGCCCGCCTCATCTCTGAGGGAGACTCTATAGCCTTCCTTGATGACTCTGTCCTGCCAGGAAGTTCCTATGCACATCTAACTTAAATCTCCAGCTGCACACCCTCCACCTCCGCAGTCCAGTGAGGAGGCCCAGCTCACCATGGAGGTGTCATCCTCGGGCAGAGAGCGAGGGGTGTAGGTGAAACTGGAAAAGTTGGAGTCAATGGCAGCCACAGGCTGGATCCCGTCATGGAGAAGTTTGGTGTATTCATCATCAGAGACCTAGAAGGGACCAGCCAGGGCATTAGAAGATGACTTCACCCCATCTAGTGTCCTCACCCTCAAATTCCCACAGCGGGGGGTGGGGGAGAAACATCCACCCAGAATGCACTCTAGCTGGGCCATCCACTCCACAGATTGTCACTGGGCAGGAGAGCACCACCCTCCCCTCACAGCCCTGCAGCCCACCTATGGTGCCTCCTTGTCTGTGACCACCTCATCTGTGACAGCCTATTGTTGGCAAGGACAGGGAACACCCCTTCGTGACACCCCCAGACCACGTCAGCTTTTCATCAACACTAACTCAAGGATTCCTTCTCTTGGAGGACTGTCCCAGAGTCTAACCTCAATCCTTCGTAGGTCAAAACTATGGTTTTGACCCTATCCACAAAGTCTGGAACCCTTCAGTTTGGACACAAGTGAGAAGAAAAGTTCAAATCAACAATGATCAGCACACACTCTGAACTAAAAGCCCAGGACAGCCTTTCTGACGCAGGGTCTGGGAACGGGATGGAATATCTTAATGAGGACTGCCCAGGACTGCATGACCTGTACCGAAGGGAGCTGGGGGGAGGGCCTGAGTGGGCTTCCCAGCAGGCAGTAATTTCCAAGATAAGAATTATCCCTGGGTGGGGGAACACATGCCCGAACCAAGTTCTGCCCTGGGCTGGGTCCAGCTGCCAGCCTTTGGGCTGAACCAGGGACAGCCTGGAGGAGAGGCTGCCCTGAAGGAGAGCAGGAGGCCAGGCATTGTTCTGGTCTATCTTCTCTTCAGGAGAGGGCGATCAGAAAGCCCAGCCTGGTCCTGGGCCCCTAAGGATTCTGGGAGGCAGGGAAGGAAAAGGTGGGCCACAGGGGACCCTGGGACTCTGAGAAGGAGGACAGAAGCTCCGGGCAGGCCTCACCTTCATGTGGTACATCATCATCTCGTTGGCTAGGTGGCTGCGATACTGGGCCTCATTCACTTTCTTGTATAGGAGGGACTAGGAGGAGAGAGGGAAAGAGGGGGCTCAAGCAAGGTGGCCGTGAAACCTCAGCATGCCCAGGACTGGGACAAAGGGGTCACACAGAACCCCCTTCCTGTCCCGAGCTGGCCCCAGTGGCAGACTTTGGGCTCTGGCTCAGAGTAGGGAGCCCCCTCCAACTTGCATCCAGACCTCCCCTTACTCCTTCCAGGGCCTCAGAATTTGTTCTGGCACTTTGCACCCCTCCTGAGCCTGCCCCATCTTCAGTGATGGAGCCCGAGGCCCAGAGCAGAGAAAGAGAAGCAAGAAGGAGGGACTGCATCAGGGACCCAGGGGTTGGATCCCCGACCACAGCTGCCAGCTCTGGACAATGAGACCCAACATTTCCCAAAAAGAAGCTGACCAGGGGCTTGCATTGAGGCTGCTTCCAGAGAGGGGGGAAATAATGACAACTGGGGTGTCCCATGGTCCTGGGAGGCTAACTGGACAGGACAGGACATAGCATCCCCAATTTTCAGACGGCAAACTGAGGCCAGAGGTGACCAGTGGGTATTGAAGATTGAGTTCCGGGCCAGGGCACAGACCCAACTGGACAGAGCAAGGAGAGCCAAGGCGGATAGGAGAACAGAGGGTCTTGCACCGGCCCGGCCCCTGTCCCCGCTCACGTGGGCGATGCTGATGCCGCAGTAGATGGAGAAGGCCGTCGCCAGGTCCTCGTCAAACTTGCTGAACCATGGTCCGTTGATCTTGTTCACCAGCTCGGCCACACCGATGACCTCTGGGGGCCGGAGAGGAGCTAGGACCGGCCCGTGGATGTGTCCGGGGGGATCTGCCCTCCCAAGGTGTCCTCAGGGGACGTCCCATTCCTGGGAAACCCTGACCCTTCTGCTGCGGGACGCTAAGGCAGTGGGGAAGGCGTGCGGACCCTCCGCTCGGCTCCGCCCCATCCCACTCAGGCCCCGCCCCGCCCCGCCCCTCCTCCCGGAGCCGCCGGGCCCGCACCCTGGTTCTCGTTCTTGATGGGGAAGCAGAGAATGTTGCGCGTGCGGAAGCCCGTGCTGTCGTCCACGCCACGGTAGAATAGCGGGTGCGCGTACGCGTCCGGGATGTTCAGGATCTGGCCCGTGGTCGCCACGTGGCCCGCGATGCCCTGGTCGGCTGGGATGCGGATCTCATAGCTCTGCCAGGATAGGGATGGAGTAAGAAGAAAGAAGCTGGGGGCCGGCCACAGAGCGGACCATGGACTCTCCGGCCTGCTCCCCAGATCCCCTGCGGAGTCCCGGCCCACAAGACCACGGCCACACATTCCCTCCGCGCGGCCCTGCCTCACCTCGTCCTCCACCACGCCGCCGTCGAACACCTTGGCCACCAGTTCATTCTGATCCAGCAGGAACACGGAGCAGCTGTGGGGAGACGGCCTTGGTCCACAGGGCCCTGACACCCCTCTCCGACAACCCCCCACTTCTCACAACTTGAGGCAAAGCCCAGATTTCTGAGGCCTGGAAGGAGTGATCCGTGGTGAGAGGCTCTCCTCAGGGGTGGTGACCCCAGAATTAGTCCATCCCAATGATTTTTTTTTTTTTTTTGTAGTGCTGACTATGTGCCAGGCACTGTGTTAGGAGCTGAGGACCCACGGCCAGCAAAGCAAACCCCGCCCTGCTGTCATTGGATATTATAGTCTAGTGAGGGACACAGGCATGGAATAAAGGGTCACACCAACGGTGACGGGGTCCCACAAGAAGGCAGTGGAGGGGAAAAAAGAGGGAGGGACGGAGGCGATGAGGACTGAGGCCCGACCCGGGGTAGATTCACTCACATCTCAGCATTGCTGAGGTTCCTGGCCTCTGTGATGATTTCCTGGAGCAGGACAGAGACATCATCTGTGGAGGGAGAAGCATGGGGGCAGTGGTGAGACCAGGCTGGAGTGCCCAGGCCAAGCACCCCCACCCCACCTCCCCCAAACACCAGCCCCCACTCCCACCCCACAGCCAGGCATGGAGGGGGACAGTGCACTCACCCAGGTGCGTGAAGAGGTTCTTTGCCACTTGGAGAAGAGCCTGGAAAGGAGAAAATGGAGATCATATGGGTCCAGGTAGTCACCCTCTCCCGCTCCATGCCTCCAATAGCCCCAGGGGCTTCTCATTCCTCCCCTAGGGCTCTCCGGACAGGCTGGAGCCTGGCAGAGTTACATTATATCCTTTGGCTACTACGTGAAGGAGAAAGAATAGCCCCAGTGAAGGTGCACAGAAATCTTGAGTCTCAGATGCCCTTTCACCTGCGCCTCTAGCCACCCAGATGTTGCTGTAGTACCCAAATTGAACACTAGAGGGCGATCGCATACAGTGCCTGCAGCCAGTGCGCTGTCCCGAGGAACCACGACTTCCCTTCTCTAAGAGGCACTGGGTCATCTCCCTGCCCTCTGTCCAGAAAGACATGGGCTTTTACCTTATGGATGACTCTCTGGGGCTGAGAGCAGGGTGACTCCGTCCCTGGGGGAGGCGCAAGGCAGGTTACTCACCTGGCACTCACACTTGAGCTTCTGCTCCTTCTGGAAGGCCAGGGTGCTGGTGAGCACGGTGCTGGTGTAGTGGAAGCAGTGCTGAATCACGTGCTCATCCTGGTCTGTGAACCTGGGGGTGGGGCGGGGTCACTGGAGAGGGAGCACGACAGACTGCTCTCCCCGTTTCTCCTCACTTCCGTTCCTCCAGCAAGCCCACTCAGATCCACCAGCTAACCACCACTCTCCTCCAACGGGGCTGCCCACTGCACAGGCAGCATGGGCCAGCCTGCCCTCAGACGGGAGGCTCCCTCAGGGGAGGGCGCTAATCCTCCTCAGACACAGATCAAAAGGTGTTTTTCTCCTCAGACTACTGTTTCTTGAAGCCAGAGCCATGTCTCCCTCTTCTGACTTCGGTCTTCTCCCTCAGACTAGAGACTTGCCCAGGCCAGAGCTGGGTGTTCTGCTCTTCCCCAGGGCCCCTACTGTCCCCAGACTCTGCGGGCCTGATTTGGTGCCTCCACAAACCCTCAGGTGGTTGTGGGGGGGTAGTGCCCATCCTACTCATGGAGCTAGCTCTCATCTAACAAGAACAGCCCCAAATCCTGCTGAGGCCATTCAATCTGGCCACCAAATGATTTGTCACCAAGGAGTTTTGTGGGGTTGGATGGACCAAGATGGGGCAGGACCTGGTCCAGGGACATGGGTAAGCCTCTCCAGGTGGGGGTCATGGGGCCGGGGGAGGAGCACGCCTCAGAGATCTTGACTATCTCTCTGCCCCACCCCACCCCAATTTCCCTGCCCAGGCCCCTCCCCATTTTTTGGCTGGCCTCAGTGCTCCTCTCTGCTGGGAGATCCCCCACTTGTGCGTGCTGTCCAGTGATTCGGGTCTAGATCCCAGTCCCCACCACCCTGTGTCTGCCTGCCCACCTTCCTTACTATGGCATTTGAGGGCCCTCAGTCTGGTCCCACCCACCTCCCTCCTCTCATCTATGGGCGTCTCTCAGCTTCAGCCACAGTAAGATCCTCATCACGATGAGAAACATCTCAGGCTCTTTCACACCTTCGTGCTTTTTCCCACACCGTTCCCTCTGCCTAGAATACCTTTCCCACCCTCCTCCCTCTATGCCCTGAAAATAAACTTCCCGTCTTGAAGGCAGGAACCATACCCAGCGCAGAGCCTGGTACAGGGGAGACATTTGGGAGGTGTTTGCTAAATGTCTTAACTGTACCCTACCTCTGCCACCAGCCCCATCACACTCCCAGATGAAGATTCTGGAATCCCTGTTCTCTGGCTTCCAGGCAGCTTCTCTGCAGTCACTGCTTTGAGCTGAGCCCCACCTTGGTTCGTGCAATCATCCAGCACTCACTCCCTGAAATATGTGGGACCCAGGGATAGCCTTGCCCCTGCCCTGGGCCTCAGGGCTGTGCCCAAGGCCCCATCTCATTTCCCTTCTGATACCACCTCTCCTCCAGGTCTAGGGCCATCTCAGAACCTGGTCCCACAGCCAGCAACCAGAGGTCACAGCCCCTGCTGGAGCCTCACTCTGCACTCCCCTCCCCAAGGGCCTTCCCAAGGCCATCTGGCCAGCACAGGGCTGGACACAGTGGTGCTCAACGTGTGTTTACTGAATGGCATAAATGCTCCCATCACTAGGATGCCCACCAGTTCCAAATGACACAGATCCCAGATCCTCCCTGCCTCAGCAGGTTCTGCTTCGTCCCTGTCTTCATTTTCCTAGCCTCATCCAACTGTCTACAGCGCTCTGTGCTGACAGGTCCTGCTGCTCAGACCTATGACTCCCAGATCTCTCCCCAACCCCTGCAGACCCCCTCCGCGGGCTTCTGACCCCTCTCTGGTCCCAACATCTCCAGTCTCCACTTCTTGCAGGAGCTCCAGGCCCTCAAACCCAGCCTGCTTGTTTGGGTCCTAGGGCCCAAGCATCTTGTCAGCATCTCTGCATCCTAGAATCTGGACTCCACCCCTCACCTGCCTGCTCCTCCCTACCTGTAGGATAGGCACAGACTGCTAGACCTGCTGGACCACGTGTGGTCAGCATTCACATCCTGAGCCTGCACCCAGGACAGACACGGCTAATCGATCACAGCACTGTTTCTCACTAAACCAAGATCCATTCTCAACACAATGCTCAGGCAGCTACTACCAATTAATGAGTTGGTGTAGGACATGAAATCTATTTATGATACCACTTCTAGGCCCCAGTTCTTGAGCTATCCTTCCTGGCTAAGCCTGTTTACCTGACTCCGTATCCTACCCACCCCTCTGTTTCACATGATTCTTACAGCTGCCCTGTCCATACCTCCAAAGACCCTCAGCTTAGCCCAGCCCCCAGCCTATTCCCTTTAGCCATTGTCCACTGTGTCAGTGATGCTCTGTGGGTCCCAGAGAGTCCACCCATCCCAGAGCTCACTGCCCCTCCATCAGGCAGTTCTCAGCAGAAATGCCAAAACAGGGGATGCCAAGTGGGGGGAAGGCCAGTACCCGACGAGTGGATGATCCAAACTGCAGGAAGTGGGCAAAGAGAAGGCGAACTCCCATGGACCTCAACATGATTTTAAAGAAGCCAAAATGGGTGATGGAGAGTCAACAATTACCTGTGCCTCAGCCAGCAGCAGCTGCGAGGGTCTAACACCTTCAGAATCCCATAGTGTCTTGCACCAACAAAGCATTCAGCCCACCACTGCTGAACAGTACCCCCTGCCCAGTACCCTTCCCAACTGTTACCCTAGGAGAGCCCCGCCCAGCCTCTCAGCTCCATCTCCTCATCCACATCACCCCACCCAGACTCACAAGTCTTCTCCGAGCTTGTTGAAGGCGCAGGCCAAGGCCACCACCTGGTCAGTGGCCCGGCTGATGACAGGGACACAGAGCATGGCCTGCAACTCACAGCCCAACATGCTTTGCAGCTGTTGCACATCCTCCTGCAAAGGGAAGTGAGTCAGGGCAGGGAAGGAGGGAGGGAGTGGGCTTTCCTCCCCCAGCCCTCCTCCACCCTCTGCAACAGGCAGTTCTAAGGGACTCATGCAGGATGGGAGGCACTATGACATCAGGGTGGCTTGAGAAAGTCCCCAGGGCTTGTCTCCCCCATTCCTAGGCTGCCCCGTCCCAGAGACCCTGGCCCTGAGGACTGGGCAGTGGGCTCTCCCCTTGCCTCCTCCCCTGGTCCAGTCAGGCCATGGCTTACAGAGGTGAGATCTTTCAGCTGGATAGACTTCTTGTCTTCCACCACCTGGCCCAGGCGTCCCGTCGTCAACTGCGGAGTGCAGAGAGGCTGAGTCAGGGCCCACTCTCCCCAGAGGCAGGCAATCTCAGTCCCCGCCCCCAAGTCTGGAAGTTTCAACGACCTCTTTAATCAGTCCAAATGGTGGATGGAGTCAACACTGAGGAGCAGAGTGGGGCTGGGGGAGTCTGCTCTTGACCAGAATCCCCTATGGAGGACTTCAGGGTCTTCCCTGAGTAGGAGAGAGAAAAGCAGACTCCAAGGATGCCCATTGATCTCAACAGATTCTAAGAGAGCCAAATCCAGAAAGACTCCAATAAAAGTGAACAGGTCCCAGGAAGCCTTTCTATAGATTGTAAGAGATTTCTCCTAATGGATCCTGATAATGGGAGTTGTGATCTCTCATAACATTTCTAAGTAGATCCTAAGATCCAGATAATTCCATGAGATTCCAAGAGATTCTGGCAGGTCCCCGTCCCTTTGGGCAGGTCCCAGCAGTGCCTAGCTGGCCTGGCCTTGCTGTGCCTGCAGACGCCAACGGAGGGAGGGACGCAGGACTCACCGGAAAGCGGATCTCTTCCTCCAGCACTTTATCTCCCATGACCTGAGGGCAGAGTGGCGGGACTGCTTAATGGATGGGCAAGGTTTTTCCTCTCGGGGACCCGGGTCCCTGTCCCCGCCCCACAGTGGACCTGGGCCCTCACCTTACAGGAAAGCTGGAGATTGTCCTCGGACACCAGCAGGAGGCAGCAGCAGGACGCCTGGGTCTCCTGCTGCAGCTGAGAGGGAGGGACACAGCGAGGGGTGACCGCGGATCTGGACCCCCCTTCCCCACACGCCCCACCCTCTCGCCTCTCTGAGGCTGCTCAGGTAGGTGGAGAGAGGAGGGGCGGGAGGTCGGAATCTGAACTGAGACGGAGGGCTCACGGGGACGTTGGTCCCTGGAGGAACACAGTGGGGGCACAGGGACTCACGTATTGGAGGACTTTGAGCTGCAGGGAAGACGCATCCAGGTCGTAGAGTTCCCCTGCAATGGCGGGGCGCGGGTCAGAGTGAGGGCCCATAGACGTCCCCCAGGAATGGGCCGCCTCGGGCTCCACCTGCCCACTCAGCCCATAGACCGCCCTTCTAAATTCTACCCCGGCCCGCCCCCGGCCGCGCCCCACCTCTCAGGCCCCGCCCACCCTGCCACCGACCCCGCCCTCCCCTCCAGGTTCGGCCCTGCCCTGCTCCCAGGGCCCGCCCCAGCCGGGTCCTCACCGCAGAGTTGCAGGATCTTTCGGTCCTGGTCGCTGTACACAACCCCGGCCTTCTGGTCTCCCGCCGCCCCCGCCGGGGAGTTCTGGACCGCTTCGGGGGCCGCGCCGGGCCTGCGCTGCTGCAGGGCCTGCACCCTTCGCAGGGCCACCAGGGTCTGGGGCGGGCCGAGCGGTCAGCGAGCCACTCGCCCCTCCTTTACCGCGCTCGCCGCCGCGGGATTCCTTGCCTTTGCTCAAGCCATTCCCTCTGCCAGCGGTGCCCATCGCCCCTACCCGTCCCAAACAACTCATCCACCCTCCTGTGGGCCCCCACTGCCCCTGGAACTGCTAAGTACGGGGTTTGTCTCCGGCCTAGCCCCCAGACTCTTCCAAGATAGGGCAGCGTCAGATTTCTCTGTGTCTCTGGCACTCACAGGGAGTCTGAGTCCTTGTTAAAGTCACAAAATCATAAAATCTCAGGAAAGAGCCTCAATATCATTATGTAGACAGTCCTTCCTAAGTATTGACAAGGTATTTGAGCCCCCTTATCTCACCAGTACCCTCAGTAGGTCGGTGCTATTCTTATCCTCATTTTCAGATGTGAAACTGAGGCTCAGAGAGGTTAAGTGACTTGCTCAAGGTCACACTGCCCAATGGTGGTGGACTGGAACCCAGGTCTGGCTGCTCCCTGGCCAGATCACCTTCCCACCAGTTATGATGAGAGTCTTCAGCAGCCCCCATCCTACCCCAGCCCCACCCACACTCACATGCTTCTCCACAGCTTGCAGGCTCCACTCCTCACTGTCACTCAGCTGGCCACAGTGCACCTGGAGGGATGGGGGAGGGGGACCAGCTGTGACCTCCCCTAGCCTCTTGCGTCTGTCTGCCAGAGTGCTCTCCCCATGCCCAGCAGACAGTTGTGCCCACCAACACATAGGCACTCCAGTCTGTGGGCCCATCCTTCCAACCAAGCAGATGGCTCCAGGAAAATCCTCCCCTCCAGAAAGCCTTCTAGGGCTAATCTGAAGAAGTGGAACTTTTCTGATTTCTGCCTTTTCCGTCACTGTCCCATCAACAACACAATCCAGGTATAGAGTGAGGGAAGGGGGTGACCTTGGACCCCTCCCCATCTCCCAGCCCATGGAGCCCTTAGGGAATAGTGGTGTTAGCCTCAGCCTCCCAGCTCCATCCTTTCGGAGCTGGGGTTTGAGCTGCCCCTAAGTCTGGAGTAAGGAGAAAGATCCGACATTTATGATGCACCTGCTGTGCCCAGAGAACTTGGCAGGATGGGCGAATGAATGAATGAATGGAGTGATCAAGTGCTCTGCCTTACGTGTGATTCCTGCCACCCCATAAGGCAAGCTTCCACCTTGCAGATGAATCAAGGCCCAGAAAGGTTAAGTGACTTGCCCAAGGTCACACAGCAGAAAGTGGCAGAGTTGGGACAGCACCACCCACTCCCTCCCCTCCTCTGCCCATACCTTCCCCTTCCCAGATCCACTCTTACCACCACCACCACCCCCATCATCCTGTCCCTCTCCAGCTTCCCTGTGTCAGTCATCAGCAGTCCCCTCAGCCCATATTTCATACTCCATGAAGTCCCTTCCCCCAACCTTGCTTGAGTGCTTGGTGAGGAAAATGAGCGGGGGAGTGGCGGTCTGGGGGCCCACTGCCGGCCCTGCCAGCAAGGCTCCCCACCTACATCACCAGCTTCTGGTGCCCACTCGGAGCTGCTCACCACCTGTGGGGCTCCCACAGTGCCTGCCCTGGGGTCCCCTCCTTCATCCTCCCTCTCCACTCAGCAGCCCCTGCCCGCCTCTGCTCTAGGTCCCCTGCCAGGAGCAGATGGAGAGGAGGAGACCAGCAGGTTCTCGGGAAGCTCACGGTCTGGCTGGGGTGGGATGGAGTGGGGGATGCGATTGGGTGGTACAGAACCTCATACCTGAGAAAGGAGGAGAGGGCACACTGGGTGGGTGGGAACCTAAAGGCTGTGGGAGCTCAGAGGAACAGAGCACCTGGGAGGCTTCCAGAACTGGCTCTGAAACATGGGAAGGACAAACAGAGCCTGAAGAGAGGGGACACTGCAGGCAAGACACTACCCTGGGGGTGCTGGGTAGTAGGACGTATGGGGAGATGAGGACCCGGGCAGGGTGGGGTCTGTGGTGCCACAGGGAGAAGGGCCTGGAGTACAAGGCTAAGGAATTGGACTTGAGCTTGATTGTACTGGGGACCCCTGGCAGACTTTAGCATCTGTGGACTACGGTTTATGGGCTGTAGGGTGAATTGGAGGGAGTGAGACTGGAGAGCCAGCCCTAATGGCCTAGTGGTTAAAGTTTGGCGAGCTCCACCTCGGTGGCCCGGGTTCGGTTCCCAGGCACAGAACCATACCACTCATCTGTCGGTAGCCATGCTGTGGCGGTGGCTCACACAGAAGAACTAGAAGGATCTACAACTAGAATATACAACTATGTACTGGGGCTTTGGGGAGGGGAAAAAAAAGAACTATACAGGGATGCCCACTAACTGGTTTAAAAAAAAAAAGACTGGCGGCAGGAAGACCTGGAAGAGGCCTGGGCCACCGAGGAGGGTGTTGAAGGTTATGCTCTGGATGAGGCCTCATCTATGCTCCCACAGGACAGGTTGTTGAAAGAAGCTGGGGGCGTGGCTCATTTGCACGTGTTTTACATAAACATGTTGGCATTTTCCTGTTAGTAGATGGGGGAGGACAGCCTTCCTGTTCCTTCCACCTGGACCCATCTCTCAGGAAAAGGGAAGGCTGAGATCTCTCTAGGGCTGTGGGGGCAACTGGGCTCTGTCTCCCAGTACAGAGCTGGGAGACGGAATGAGAGCCTCAGAGGCTGGAGGAAAGGAAGGGATCGTGGAGTCCTCCTCCCCCTATTGGACCCACCCAGCATGTGCACAAATACACATATACACTCTCCTGAAGACCCTCAGCACCCCCCCACACACATACACACACTCATACTCAAGCTCACTCTCCCACGGAGATACTCAGGTGTGCATGTACGTGCACACACACACACATACACAGAGGCACAGATTCACAGACATCCCCACACCCACAATCACAGTGTCTACCCCACCCACACGTGCACATTCCTACCTGTACACAGGATACTTGAGTTCACGTACCCAAGAGCCATCACACACTTTTGCACCCCCCATATGCAAACACAATCACCAGCACTCGCACGTGGCTTTTTGCTCACCAAGAACAGACACTTACACCTACTCTTGCTAATCCGGGGGTGTGTCTGGGGCACAGTGGGAGCCCTCGTTAGTGGGCACTGGGGCTATAGAGAGGGTTGGAAGCCCAGCACAGCCCCCGCACCCTCACCCTCACCCAGTTCAACATGGCTAATGGCATGAACACCCCGTCCCCGTGGAAGGAGCTGGAGTGGGTGGCACAGCTGGGGGAAGAGTGGGCACAAATCATGCATCAAATGCCAGAGACCAAGGGCCACCCACTCCTCAAAGGGACTTATTATCCCGGAACTGAAGAGCAAAGCCAGGACTCCTTTCACACAAAGAATCTGCAATCAAGGCGCTCGAGCTGCGAGCCGCAGGGCCCAGAACGCAGCCAGGCAGCCCTGCACCTGGACGGCACACTCCTCAGAAAGCCCTCCTCTGACGGGATCTCCATCAGGCCCCGGTATTCCTTGCAGGGCTCCCTGGTTTCCTTGCTAGCACTTGCCATCATTTGCAATTCTATCCTTCATTTGCTCAGTTGTTTAATGTCTGTCTACCCTCCAGGCTGTCTGGTCTGTCTCGGTCATTGCTGTGTTTGCAGCACCTAGCACATGGGGCCTGGTGGTGCTGAAGAAATATGTCTTCAATTGATGGACGGGTGGGAGGATGGATGGATGAATGGATGAATGGATGGATGAAGGGATGGATGAGTACCAAGAGCAGAGACTCAAAGAACGGAATGGGCTTGTTGAGGAAGGAGCTGTTGAGTCAGCTCTCCCAAAAGATCTGCCCAGTGGCACCCCCTTGACCCACTGCACCCTCTGCCCTCAGGACCTGGTAGCAGCCGAGAGGTCCAGCACTGCCTGTGCTGCCTCTCAGAGGATGTGAGATCCTGTGGCCCGGGGGCCCTGGGATGGAGCAGCAGGCCAGGATCTGTGAGATGTGTATGCACTGGGGAGAGGGGTGTCCTGGAGAAGTAGGTTTCTACTTGAGGAGGAAGGCACAGGCTTGGAGGAGAGGCAGACCGTGAATAATCCAAATACCTTCCCAGAGCTCTTCACTGCCCGGGGTGTTTGAGGAGGTGAGGGGACGGAATTTCTCCCGGCAGCCAAAGCCCCAGGTAGCATCTTGCTCAACAGCATGTACCACCCACACCTCAGCCTCGCCAGGATCACACACCTCCCCCAAACTCCTCCACCATTCTCCCCACCCTGCCTTTGTTTGTGCTGTTCCCTCTGTCTAGAATATCCTTTCCCTTCTTCTCTGCCTGTTGACCTCCTACCCACACGCCAAAGCCCCACTCAAATGCTGTCTCCCCTGTGAGGCACCCCTTGCTGCTCCAGCCTCTGCCACGGGAGCGCCTGCTGGTAACATTTAGTCCATTTGGCCAGTGATGGTCTGAGGGTGTCCCCGCCTTCCCCCAGACTGAGAGCTTCTGGAAGGTGGAAGTGGGTCTGACTCTTCTCTCTGCCCCAGCACCCAGCCCGGAGGAGAGCGCAGAGCAAGGTTTTGCTAGGGTGTCAAATTTAAGTAACATGACCCCATCCCCTCGCCAATACACAGCACACACATCCACACAGGCTTTCTCCCCCCGGAGAAGGCCAAAGCCTGGACTCCTAGCCCAACCTGAGCCCAGGTGAACAGCGGTCATGGCAACCATCCTCCTGCCCACAAGAGGAACAACATTCCAAAGTCTTCCCCTCGCAGGCGTTGCTTCTCTTCTGACCCAGCTCTCACAGCCCCAACAGAGGAAGTCATCTTGACACCCCCGGACTCTCCTTCCTCAACAGAAGTGGGCCATCGGGCCGCTGCCTCCCATCCGCACCTCTGCACACTGCCCCCAACCCTGGTCCTCCTGGAAGACCGGCTCCGGCACAGACTGGGAGCAAAGGAGGGAGGGAAGCGGCGCTGAGAACTTGGTGCCAACAGCAGATCCGCTCCCTGCGGGAACAGAAGCTGGGGGTGGGGGAGCAGCTTGTGGGAGAAACCAAGGGGGCCGCGTCTCCCTCCGTCAGGCAGATGGGGGCCGAGGAGACCAAGCCAAGGATCCCTTCCTTCCTCTCCTCTCCCCGCTGCCGCCCCCCACTCCCAGCGCCTCCCCCACCGGCAGCTCTGGAAAGGTCAGGCGCCTCGGAAACCTTTAATTCTGTCCTAATGAGCTCGGGAGGGGTCCCCGGGGTGCACCGAGACCCGCTCATTTATCTCTCCGCACCCCCAAGTCAGCCCCTTATTGAGGTGGTGGCTGCCTCGGTTGAAACAGACCCCCAATAATGGCGATTTGGGGCTCTAACCCTTCGGTTCCTAGGACAGGACAAAGATTTGAACGCCCACCTCCATATGGAGAAGAGCCTGGAAGAGCGGCAGAACCGGGCCCCGCAGGGCTCAGCCAACCCCAGCCAATGGAGCTGACACCAGGGAGCTCCGCGAGGGGGCAGCAGAGGGCAGGGGAGCCCCGGCCTGGGTTTCCCTCCCGACTCCCCGCTTCTCCTCCATCACCCTCTCCAGGAAGCCTGCCCTGTTGCCTGGCATCTGCCCGAGCCTCGGCCATGCGTCTGGCTGGGGCTGGATGCCTACCCAGGCAGCTGCTCCCCGTGGGTCTCCTCTCCCCAGATGCCCTAGCTCCGGCCATCCCGATCTCTGACTGGCTTTCCCACACAGTCACTATTTGTCAGTGTTGTGTCCACCCATCCGTCCTCAGTGTCTCTCAGGCCCTTCCCTCCTCACTGTGTTCATGCCCTCTCAGGACACTGCCCCCATCCCATCTGGGAGGATGCCAAAGAGGAAGCAAGGTCAAGGCTGTGCCAGGGGCTCCACGCGTGCTGAGAGTGCAGACAGGGCATGCACATCCCTCCGAAAGTTGCTGACTGTGCCAGTGACTGAGTCCTGCCCGTTCAAGGTGGGGCAGAGGGCTGGGGTGTGGGACTCCTCCCAGACCCTCATTTCCCACAGCTCCAGCCCAGCTTGCTGCACACACACACACACACACACACGCACACACACCCCAGACAGGCTCCGTCCACCGCTCCCTCCCCTGCTCTCCTCTCCCCTCATCCCACCCGCAACAGCTCTTACCAAGATGACGGCTGCCACAGCCCCGGCCTCCTTGTCCACCAGCGGTATGACCAGCACTGAGGGGGAGAGGGCAATGAGGTGGTCCTGCGGGGCCAGTGAGGCTCAGAGATACTGAGCCAGTACCCAGGGAGGGAGACGAGACACAGACAGAGAGAGGCCGGGACAGAGACACAGAGACCCAGAGATCCGGAGAGACAGACAGATGGGTCCTACCACAGCAACGACCCCTGCAGAGAGGGAAACCCCCTCACTTGACAGCTTTCTGGTGATCCTCCCAGCAACTCTGAGAGGGAGGGAGGCAGGTAAGGCCGAGCACTCCTATTTTACAGATTGGGAAACTGAGGTCCAGAAAGGGGAAGTGACTTGCCCAAGATCACACAGCAAGTCAGGTCTCCTGACTCCCAGTCTTGTGCACTTTCCACATCGAGACAGAGGACAGAGACCTAGAGAGACTGAGACACGAGGCAGAGAGACATGGGGGACAGGGGGCATGGAGAGGAAGAGAAAGAAAAACAGAGACAGTGACAGAGGGAGCATGGCAACAACTACAGCCCGTCTAGCAACCGGCACAAGCACGTCACCACTGCGGCCAGTGGCCACTGAGCCCTAGCATGTTCCAGGCCCTCAACATGCGTTAGCCCATCTGCTCCTCCTTGAAACACCCCCTCAACGTAGGTTCTGTTGTCCCCATTTTACAGACCAGGAAATCAAGGCTCAGAGGGATTAGTTGCACAATAGAGAGAGAATTAGATAGAGGAATTGCTAGAGACACAGAGCTAGAGAAAGGTGACAGAGATGAAGATGGGGTAGAAGACAGAGGTGATCTGGGGAGCAGGGGCCACAGTCCTCCCCTGTCCCTGCCCAGCTCCCAGCCTTACCTTGGGTGTCAGGGGCCAGTGGAGCCGCCAGCCTGGCCAAGGGTTTCCCCGGCAGGTCTGAGGGGCCCAGTCCATTGCAGCCCAGCCGCTTCCGGGAGATCACAGCCTCTCTGAAAAGAGAACATGATCCCACCTCTCAGCCCCTGGATCAGAGGAGCAGGCCCCAGCCTGGGAACACACAGCAGGCTGGACCTGCACATCTGTGAGGATCTGGACAAGCTGACCTGCTGCAGGGTGGACACGAGGAGGGCAAAAAGAGAAGAGTCGGGGACTCTGACCCCCCGTGTAGCAGGGCAGGCAGCCACAATCTGGCCTCTGCCGCCTCCTGCTGGTCGACATGGGAAGGGCACCTCTGGGCCCAGCACAAATCCCACAAAGCAAGTAAAGCACGTGCTCCGAGCCAGGCTGCCTGGTTAAATCCTGCCACAGCTACCACTTGACCTTGGCCAAGTGACCTAACCTCTCTGAGCCTCCCAGGGAGTTCTAGGGTGGAGAAGAGTAGAAGCCTAACCATCATCATCCTCAGAAAACCATTCTAGAGCAATGTTCGGTACCAAGCACAGGATGGCCTCCAGAGATCATCATCACGACTGCAGTTTATCGGACATCCCCGAGGTGCCATGCACCATCCAAGCAACTTACACAGATGAACTCAGAATTCCCAACAGTCCTATGAATTAAATATGATCATCATCTCCATTTTCAGGTGGAGAAACTAAGGCACCAAGAGGTTAAGTAACCTGTCTGAGATCCCACGGCTAATTAGTGGTAGAGCCAGGATCCGAACCCAGGCAGTAGGCACCAGAGCCCACACTCCTAACCAGTGTGCCTAAACCTTCCTAAGGACCTGAGGGGGTGTGCGCCTCCAACAGGAGATTGGCACAAGTGTTGAGGAGGAAAAGGGCGTAGGTGTGCGGGAGGGGAGGGGAGAGGGGAACCGAAGCAAGGAGGCTGGTGTAGAAGAAGGAATTTCTCTCTGCCCTCACCGCACATGCCACCCTCTCCCCAGCCTCTGGCTCTCCCTGCTTAATTAAGCGCCCGATTTTTCACCAAATGTCACTCCCTGATGATTAATTGGCTTCGGTTCCTCATCCCTCATGCTGCCTCCACTTGTGATTGTAGGAACTGCCTGGCCTGGAGAGAAGAGAAGCCTGCAGGGCTGGGACTCGGTGTGCAGGTGGGGTCACTAAGGGAGCCCAGCAAAGGTCAGATGAGGAAGAGAGAGGAGCTGGTCTGAAAGTCTCCAGATCAGGAGGTCACAGCGGCTAGAGAAATGGAGGACCAAAGAGGATGAGCATCTCGGTCAAGGTCACGCAGCATTCTGAACCAGACCCATTCTCTCCTGGCCTCTTGGTTCAGAATCTGCAGGAACCAGTGGCATGTCCCCACTTCCAGCCCTCACACCCTGGACCTATCGGCTCCTGGAGCGCTGGGCTCCAGTTCTGAGCTGTCTCCAATCCCCCCGGGAAGGAATAGGGATCTAGGGTGGCAGGAGGGCAACAGCAGCCACGTTTCCTGATGACTAAATTGATGAAGGCTGGGCTTCATGGAGGCAGGAGGCTGGCTTTGGTGACCCTCAGCCAAACCCCCTCTTGTGGACCCCACCCAGCCACTTGGCCCTGATAACCTGGTTATTGGGCAGCCACAAGGTGGCGCTGGTCCCCGTCCTGCTGGTCAGTGAGCGCTGCAACTTCATCCCACTGACCCCTGACTCCCCCCTCCCACCCCCAAACTCATGGCTGCCTTGTCCTCTCCCTCTCCGCCCCCCGGGACCCTGATGAAGGGATCTGCCCTCAGCCCTTCTTGTCTTCTGCACAAAACTCCCTCCTCTGTGCTCGTGGCCTCATGACTCTCCAGTGCCCACTCTCAACAGCTCCAGACCCCAGATACCCAAAGGACTCCTGGAGGCCCGCCCAGGATGTCCCTGAGGTTGCCAAAGGCACCCCGTCCCAATCTGAACTTATCCTCCACCACTACCCCAGAGTGGCACAACCATCCATCGAGTCCCTTGTGGCTTGTCCACCAATTGTCCTAGCTGCCTCTCTCTTCCTCACCTCTCCCATCCAATGGGTGGGTCATCTCCCCTGCCTCTCTCACAACTGTCCCCTGCTCTCCACTCCAAGCCACTGCCCAGCTCAAACAGAGACACCTCTCCCCTGAACCTGCAGCAGCCTCTCCCCCAGCCTCCTGCCTCCCGTCAGGTCCCTTAAATCCATCCCCCATACGAGAGCCGGAGCAAGTTTTCTCCACTAAAATACTTGTGGAAACACTCTTCTTAAAGGCTTTCATTCCACAGAGTATGTATTCGGGGTTCTTCTTGGTCAGGTTCAGTACTGAGGACTGACATACAGACCACACTCCAGTGTAGGGATGAGCGCTCTGACAAAGGGAGGAGGAGTGGGCGCCAGCCTACCTGGGTGCAGGATGGAAGTGGGGTCAGAGAAGGCTTCCTGGGGGAGGAGATGCCTGAGTTGAGTCCTAAGGGACATGCAGAGGTTGTCAGGGCAGACAGAAAAGGATGTGCAGGCAGAGGGAACTGCATGTGCAAAGCCTCAGAGGAGAGAAAGAATGTGTGTCTGTGGGGTGCTCCAGCCGCCAGGAGGTTGGTGTGGCTGGACAGCAGGGAGCACAGTGGAGAGGGACCAGGGCCCTGAGGAGCTGGGTTTGATCCTGAGCGCAGTGGGCGCCCCGGGAGGGACCTGAGCAGGGGAAGGTAGAGGTCAGGTTTGATTTCAGGCTGATCATGCTGGCTGCCGGGTAAGACTCTTACAAGAGAGGGAGAATCTGAGCGCACACACAGGTCTCAGTGAGGGCCACAGAGTCTCAGTGGCCCCTGAACAGCAGAGGAGACGCTGGGCTGGGGCAAGTCAGCCTTGACTGGGCCCAGATCTCTCACCAAGCACGGGGGCCTCCAAGGGTCCTCAACCCTCAGGAGTCCCCACGCCTTGGCACCTTGCTCTGCAATCTGTTCCCCCTGGGGCCCGGCCACATCCCACAGACCCAGGCAGGGGCGCGCCACAGCCCCAGGCTGTGCTCAACTCAGCCCACCCCCAGGTGAGCCCTTTTCCTCTGCTGCACCCTTCCCAGAACTGCTGTCCCCCTGGAGGGATGGGGGTGGGGGCTTCCTGTACTGCCCACACCCGTCATGGCTCTCCCTTCAACTCAGAGCCCTGCCCTGCCTCCTCTCCCCTCCTGACATCCCCGCCTCCCTGACCCCCTGCCAGCCTGATGGTGGGGGGGGAGGGGACACCACACCCCCGGGCCAGCTGTCCAGGTTGAAGGCTAATGATTCAGCCTGGGTGCCTGGGTGGTCATGCTCTGCCACAGCGACAATAAAGACAGATGGGCACAGAGTGGGGCGAGGAACGGGCGTGGATTTTATGATGGTTCCGTCCCTTTAACAACTATTTGTTTAGTGGAAAGAGTGGAGGGAAAGGCTCCCTGTTGGTGGAGTCAGTGGCCTGGAAAGAGCTGAGTGTCCAGGTCCCGTTCCACCCCTCCTCTGAGCCCCTTCTTTGGCGAGGCCCCATCCCCTTTACTGAGCACCCCCTCACTGAGCGCCCCCGGCCCCTCCCAGAGCCCCAGCCTCCTCTGATCTGTCATCTCTCTCGGAGACAAATTATGACTCAGGCCAGGACCTGGACCCTCCTCTCCCTCTCCTCTTCTTCTCCCAGAATGTGAGACTCCAGAGACGGGAACAGACTATTCCCTGTGTCCCTCAAGATGAATCAAAGGGACAGACTGACTCTGCAGTGAGAGGGGACCAGGTCAGCTCTGAGGAAGAAGTTTCTCGAGGTTGGGCCCTGGGACCTTCAAACGGTAGCAGAGGGAGACAGCCAGCTGGGGTGGGTGTGGGCGGTGTCTCCGTTGCAGCTGAAAAGCCCCCAATTTTGCTGCACTCAGCAGCGAGTAATCAGAGGCTTTAAGATGGCAGGAGACACAATAAGAAGAGGAAGGCAGCAGGGCTGGAGACTGAAATAGGCTGGGAGATCGAGGGGACACAAATAAAAGGGAGGCGAAGCCTTCCAGGAAGCCCCCTCGCTCAGGCAGCCCTCCAGGATTCTCTCCCCTCCAGCCCGAGGCCCCTTGCACCCTTAGAATTCAGAGCTGGATCAGCCCTCAGACATCACAGTGCCTGATCTTATCATCTCACAGAAGCATAGACTGAGGCCCAGAGAGAGTGCGTGGGACTGTGATTGCAGCCACGTTGTCCTGGATCCCAGGCCTCCTGACCCCCAGCTCAGGGTTCTTCTTGTGGACAGACCTATCCCTGAGGGAGGCCACCACAGCCCAGACACCTTTTCTGAAAACTGGATCCTCCTTAGTGCCAGGGAACTATGGCCCTCCTAGAGGGCCTCTGGCTGGGCCGCGGGGGATAAGGGAACTGTGCATCGGTCCAGATGGAGATGGCAGGGAAGGACTTTGCAGGGGAGGAGAGAGCACGAGCTAGCACGGGAGGCAGGAACCCAAACACATTGGGGGCTGCACCTGGGCATCTGGCAGCCCGCGAAGTGGTAGGGGGCAGTGGTTGGGGGCTGCTGGGGAGCTAGTGGGCCTTCTCCCCCTTGGCCCACGTCCACCCCGCATCCACCACCCCACCCTGAGCCCATCCTCTGCCCCTTCTCCTGGGCCCTTATCTGTCTTTATGATCTGCCTCCACTTCACACCTGTTGCTGTTTGCCAGCCCTGCCGGCCCTTCAGGGTTTCCTGGAGGAACACCCCCCTCCGCGGGCACTGCCAGAGCCTCAGGCTCCACGTCAGCCTGGGGCGAGTGCCTCGGCCTCCTGATGGGGCCAGAGCCGTGGAGGTCACCAGTGGAAGGACCTTGTATCCAACCTACCTGTTTTATAGAAAAAGAGACTGAGGCCAGAAGGGAAGTAACTTTCTCAAGGTCACCCAGTGAGTAGCTGTGTTGGGGGTGGAGGGCAACCAGCAATCACTGAGCTCCTACTGTGTGCTGGGCACAGGCTAAGCACCGGCTAAGCACAGGCATCTGTTATCTCATTAGGCCAATAGACAGGTCCAACTGTTATCTCCATTCTAGAGATAAGAAAACAGGTTTGAAAGGGGACACACCTAGGCTGGGATGGGGCTGGGCTAGAATCCACGCCTGTCTGACTCCTATTCCAGTGCTCTCCCCCCTTCCACATGCCGAGCTCTCAGCCCTGGCAGTGGAGGTGGGGAGGTCTCACCTCCAGACACATGGTGGGAAGAGGTGGGCAGAGCGCAGATTTCAGAAGAGAGGACTGCCTGAACCTTCACCCCCAATCCTCACCAGCCTGAATGAACTTTGATCTCCAGGTCTTCCAGGACGCCCCCACTGCCTCACCTCTCTTGTCCCCTCAGCCTCCTCGCCTCCTAGGCCTCCTGGATTTCTGAGCTCTGTCTCCCAGCAGGCACTTGCCTCCCCATCTCCACTGAACTCTGGGATAATTGCATGGGAACATTCACTTTTATTTGCTTTTTTTTTTGTACCTTTTCCAAAGGCTCTACTGAGTCTGAAGTGGTTGGTGGTGGGGATACTGATGCAGAGGCTCTGAGCCCCCTCAAAGATCCTGGACCGCAGACCCGCCACCTCACAGCAGAAAGCCTGAGGGAGCATTTGCAGGCTTGGAGGGGCAGAGCCAACACTGCAGGATGCTCCCCTCCTGCCTTCTGAGCCCGTGATCCTGCATCCCCCTACCAGGAAGGCCTTCCCAGGCCGTTCTGAGGAAACTTCCTGGGTGGGGCAAGCCCATAATAAGCAAAGTTCTTGAGAATTAGGGGTGGGAGTGCTGTCTCAGAGGAGAAAAGGGGACATTATAGCATTTTTTTCCCGTAAGATTCCAAAAACCTTCCAGCCCTATCCTGCCATCTCACAGATGGGACAGTAGAGGCCAGAGAGGGGTGTGGCTGGGGCTTGGTTCACACAGACCTTGGGGAGGAGTTGTCAGGAGGTGCTGAAGGGGAGAGTGTCACCCACCACCCACCCCTGGGGGAGTCAAATGGGAGACCAGGAGGTGGGAAGGCTCAGGGTACTGAAGAGGCACCAGCCCCTTCCATGGAGAAGGGCCAGGGGAGACACCAGCATCCAGGAATCCAGGGTTCCAAGTGCCGGGAGGGGCCTCAGGACCAATCAGCATCCCCAGCATCAGGACCTCCAGCCTCAGCTACCACCTGGAAAAGCCACCTCCCTGGACCACATGGCCTGTTGGAAGAGCCCTCCCCCAGGGAGCAGAGCACTGCCTTCTGGTCACGCCCCACTGGCACCCACTCAGCCCTCAGCTCCCAACCTGGAGCTCCCTGGGCCCGTGATGGCCCTGCGGTGCTTAGAAGGCAGTGACCACGTCCTCCGCGGCGTGCCCTCCTCTGGGCCAGCACTCCTGCCCGTCAACACTTTCTCATCTAAGTTCCACTTGCCCTCACTGTCCCCTGAACGGCCAGGAGCCAGGAGACTGTGTCCCAGGCCTGGCTCTGCCTCACACCAGTTATGTGGCGTTGGACACGTCTCACGCTGTCTGACCATCTGAAAAGTAAGGAGGCTGAATTCAGTAGGCTCAGAGGTATCAGTGGACCATGGGGCACTGAGCCCGTGTTCCTAAAGCCAGTGATTCCAACATTCTAGCCTAATGGAAATAAAACCAGACATTTAGCATTCATTGTGGATACAGTTTTAAGTGCTTTACATGTGTTAAACTCATTTAATCCTCCCAACAATCCTGTGAGATAAGCACTATGATTATTGCCATGTTACAAATTGCCCCAGATTATACAGCCAGGAAATGGGGAGCAGGGATTTGAACCCAGGCAGTCGGGCTCCAGAACCACAGCAGGACGCTGCCTGGGATCAGCCTGTTCTTGGCTGCCGGGTTGACACCGCGCTCCCGCGGGACCCGCGTTCTGCGACCCGTGAGAACCTCCCAGGCAATTCTGCTGGGGTGCTAACGGTAGCCCCGATATTCTGAGACATTCTGAGACGCGGCTCTGAGGAGGCCGCAGCAATTCGGAAGAGCTCTCTAGGAGAACACCTACCCGCTGGCACTTTGCTGTGCCATCCACTCCCCCTACCCAACACGAGAGAAGACACTGCTTCTCCCCTCTGTGCTGGAGTCAGGGACACGGCCAAGGAACCCCACCCAGCATGGAGGCTGAGGTCCAGGTCAGATGGGGAGGGTCAGACCAAGCCTTGGAAGGGGCCCCAGGCCTGAGGTCCTTGGCCGTGCGTGAGCGCAGTGCGGGGGAGAATGGCTCACCGGACTTTCCCCTCCTGGGGCAGCTCGTGGGGGGGTTCCTCACACACCAGCCGGGACTCCGCATCCAGCAGGTAGGTGTAGACGGTCTCCTAGGACAGGAGGCACTCATGAGACCCTGCGGAGACGTCCTCCCTGCCCCCAGTCCCAGCCCGTACACAGGGCCCTGGGGAGTGCGCACAGGCCCTGTTGGTCTGTGCTCCCCAGGTGACTCTCAGAGCAGCCAGGGCGGAAAAACTCCCTATGAACTCAGCACCCCACCCTCCCCTCTTGGAGGGGCTCTGGGCAGGCAGTGATCCATGATCCATCTCCCCAAATCCAAGGAACTGAGGAGACGGCTGAAGGGCTGAAGGTGGAGACATCCTCCCACCGCTACCCCGGGATATTTCCCAGCGGTGACTCCAGCCTCAGCAAACAATAACTGACTGTCCACTCAGGGCCGGACTGTGGGAGGGGCTTAGAATGTCCCGGAAGCTTCCCTCCTACCTCAGAGACACAAACAACTCTATGAGAAACCACACGCCATGACCCAAGCCAGGAGGGCTTCCTGGAGGAAGCGACCTTAAAGCTGTAAGTGGAGTGGGAATTAGACACATTCAGGGAGTGAATGAGGCACAGAAGAATGGCTTCTGGGCCCAGGAGCAGGTCTGTAGTTGTAAAGAGCATGGAGCATTTATGGAACTGACAGTGGGGGCGGGGGGCACAGGAGGTGGGCTTGCGGTCAGCAGGGGCTGAGCTGGAAGGGCCTATAAAGCGAGCTGCGGGAGGCTGCCAGGGGCTGCTGCCAGGCGAGCGGGGAGCCCTGAGAGACAGGAGCAGATTTGTATTTGGGATGATGCCTCCCTAGAGTGAGACCAAAGCTCTGCCCGAAGCTTGTCAAGTCTTCGGCTTATCAATCCGCCCGCCCCAGGGGCCCAGAGCAGCCTGGGCCTCAGCTCCAGACCAGATAGTGGCAGAAGCAGTGGCCCTCACTGACCCCCAGGACAAAATCCACATTCCCTCCAAGCAGGCCTGGCTCCCCTCAGGGATCCACAACCAATCCTGTTCAGCGCCCCCTTGCAGAGCGTCTCCACTGTCCACACTGTGTGACGAGGGAGACCAGGATGCCAGTGCTGCCCAGCAGAGCCTGTGCCCCAGCGAGGGGGCCCCCACACGCCCAGCTAAGTATCTTGAGGGGCACTGTGTTCTCAGTGGGAGGAAGGAGGGCTCTCTTCTCTGCTGAGGTATCAGGGAGGGCTTCTGGAGGAGGTGACATTGGAGCTAGGTGTGTGGAGTCCTTCTCAGCAGAAGCAGTTGCCTTTCGTGACTGTGAGTCCACAATCCTGCCAGCCACTCTTGCCTTTGGCTGTCCCCAGCCAGCCCCCACCCTCTTCTAGCCCCCAGGAGATGTCCCAGTCCTGCTTCCAGAGAACCAGAGCCAGGCTCAGTGGCGGTGAGGGCTGGGAATGAGAGGGCCTGAGGGGAGAGAGAAGGGCAGACACAGGCGAGGCCTGGCACCCCCTTGTCCTCCTGGTGAGGGTCTAGGCGGGAGTTTAGGCGTGAAGAAATCAGTGGGGAGAAGGCCGCCCGCTCCTCATCTGTATCCAGCCCCCTTCTTGTCATTCCACCCTTGCAGCAGCTGGGAGGGGCCTGAGGGATTTGGCCCAAAGAGGTTAAGGGACCACTCAGCACCCAGGGCCACACAGAGAGTCCTGCCCTGGCAGGGAGAGGGGCAGACAATCCGGTGGGGGAGAGGGAGGAGGACAGGTCCTCACTGCACGTCCGGAAGTCCGTCTGCCTCCCGCCCCCTCACTCTCAGCCCTCCGGGTTAAAATTAGCTGAGTTTATTGGCGAGAAGGAGGGAACCATTTCAGACACATCAGCACCATCTGCATTCGGGGCTGCCTGCCACAATGGCTGCTGATGAGGGAGCAGGTGCCAGCAGCTCTCCTCTCTGCGGGGTAGGGAGACCCCTCCCCGATTTCTCCCCTCACCAGGGGCAGAGCAGACCCCTGCAGCTCCCCGCCTCCCTGGGAGCAGAGCCGACCCCTCCATCCCCCTCAACTCCCTGGAGGCAGAGTAGACCCCTCCATCTTCCCCCACTCCCTGGAAGCAAAGCAGACCTCCCATCTCCCCCCACTTCTTTGGGGGTCTGAGCTCCTCCCTACAATCAAGCTAGGGCTCCCCCAAATCTGGGCTTCCCTAGCTCACAAGTCTCTTGGATGGACCAAGGTAGACATTTCCACTGTCCCAGGAACCTAGTCGCCTGAACCACAGCTGTCTTCCTGCCCCCAGCTTTGGGGATACACTTAATCCAGCACAGGGCATCTATGCTGGCACCACCACTGGCCACCCTGCCTGTGAAGACTTGGCCAGTCACCTCCTCCCCCTCACAGGGCAGCCTCGGTGGCCACAGAGGGGCCCAGGGCAGCCTTGAGGATGCTGACCTGACAACCTCCCCATCCCTTCCTTTCCAGATTTGTTTCCACCCCAGGCCAGATGTTGCCTCAGTCCCATCCTTCTCCAGGAGGATTTATTTTTGGGTGCCAACACACCACCCACTTCCTACCAATTTCACGCTCAATAAAGCTCACTCATTAGCCCTCCTCCTGTGCTCTGAACTTCTAGGAGGTTTTGAGAAGGCAGAGCTGAGGAGAGGGATCGGGGGTGCTTAGGTGCCAAGCCTCATTTGTCCCCGTCATGCTGTCACCTTGGGGGAAGCACCCTCCCTCTCTGGGCCTCCAGCAGTTCATCCATCAAGCAGATTCAGATACAATGGGCTCTGGTGGGGTGGGGGGGGTCACATTCTGAATTAACCTATGTCCCGGAGCAGAGGCTGCCTTTGGCTGGTGTCTGGAGTAGGGGAGACGACATTCCAGGCTATGGGGACTCAGTTTAGGCATCTCCTCCTCCAGGAAGTCTTCTGTTCCCCTTAGGCTGGCTCAGACCCCCTCCCCAGACCAACAGTCCCCTGCTTCCCTCTATCTGTCACAAAAGACACTGCTGCTTTGGGTCTTCAGGGCCGGTTTATCCATCTTACTGCCTAAGGGATGAACAGCGGCCATTGGAGCCAGGCTGGGGAGTGGCCTGGGGCAGCTGAAGAGGGGCACAGTCCCCATACCAAGGCATTCTGGGCCCAGGCAACCATGGTGACCTGCTGTCCGTGGGCCCAGGCCACCACCCGCCACCTGCCCCCAATTTGCAACCTTTTGCATGGTTTTGGGTCAGAGAGAAGCTTCAAGGCTTCTAGAGATCATCTTGTCCAGCCTCCTGTCTCCAGGCAGGACACTTTAACTCGGCACAGATCCATTCATCAAGGCTGAGCCCCATTCCAGCACCTCCCAGACCTGGCATCAAGGAAGCTCTTCTGCACGTCTACCCTCAACCCCTCCTGCTATACATATTCCAAAGCCCACCTGACTCCACTATGCCCAGGCTGTTATCCTAGGTGAATCCCTTCCATCATCTGAGATGCCATCTTTCCAATTAAGCTCTAAGGCCCCTTCTGTCTCAGGCATTCCAGGATTCCTATGTAAGTTCATTCTTTGGGGCTTAGCTTCAGCCCTCCTCCTCCAGGAAGCCCTCTCAGAACATTACCCAAACTCTTCACTTCCCCATGAGCGTCCTCTGGGCAGGGACCCTGCCTCTTCTTTCCTTCTCAGCCCTGTGTGACGTACAGCAAAGAGCTGGGCAAAGGTTTGGGGGGCGGGGGAAATGTGGGGCACAGCACCTACCACTCTGGGGAGCACGGCAGAGAGGGCCTCCTTGACAGCCCGTTGCAAGCCCATGATGTCGATGACAGAGCCCAGGCTCAGCAAAGCATCCTGGAAGAGAGGAAAGGGCCATGAGGCCTTGCCAGGCAGGCCGGGGCAGCCCCATCTGCCCAGGTGCCTGTGAGCACAAGCTCCCAGGTTAAACCAGAGCCCAAGGCTCTGAAACACTCAAACCCCGGGATCTTAGGATCTCAGAATCCAACAGGTCTTAAGGCCCGAGAATGTCCAAGTCTCCTCATCTTGCAGATGGGGAAACTGGGGCTCAGAGGAGAGCCAGGGACTTAGCAAAGAACTCACAGTGAGGCAAGAAGTCAAGTCTAGACTAGAGTCCAGGCCTCTTGTCCTTTAGCCCAGGACAGCCAGCTAAGTAGGGAAGGCACAAGCTTCCACATTACAACAAAGCAAAACAAGCAAACAAAACAGCCCCAGTTGGAATCCTAGCCGCACTATTTATTAGCAGTGTGTGCCCTGGTCAAGTCACCGAGCCTCAGTCTTCTATCTGTAGACGGGGACAACTGTGGCTATCTCCTCCTACAAGCTGACGTGAAGGTAAAACAAGACTGAGCCCTACAGTGCCTCGGAGTACCCACACAGAGTAGGTGCTTGGCAAAATGTTTGCTGAACCTGAGACCCACTCACTTTCCCCGGAGGGAGGTGGTCTCAGCCAGGCTCGTTGTTCAGCCCAGTGAGGGGCTGGGTTGGGAGTAGCAAGTCCAAGGAGTGCATGAGCCCACAAGGTGGGAGAAACAGCCCCTGGCCAGATGGGAGGAGAAGGAGAGGTCAGCCTTGACTGCCTCCCAGCCTTCCTGTCCCAGGCACAGGCCTCGTCCTTGGAGAGCCGGAACAGAGACAAGAAAGGTCCCTGCTTCTCCCTCTGTTAACTTGGCCAGAGCCACAGGGATCAAAGATAAAGGTAATGGAACAGGGGATCCAGGGCCAAGTCAGGATCGTGACTCATATCGTCTACCCTGCCATGCCCTCCAGCTAGCCCTTGGAAGTTCTTTCTGATGTCTTCCGTGTGGATGGCTGGATCTGTGTTCAGGAAGCAAAGTGATTAACTGGTGGAGGAAGGAGACATGGCTTGGCCCCCATTCATGTGAAAATGATATGAAGTTGAGGGTCTCAGTAGACCACAAGGTCAGCATGAGCCCACAGTGTAAGTGTGGCTGGTAATAAATTAAAATGCTGAAACTACCGGCCATATTAATAAGGATCTGTTAACCTGAGTAGGGAAGATGACAGTTCCCCCACTTCTATAGGGTGATTAGACTATCTCCAGTGCATTGTGTCCCAGGTGAGGACAAGATGAGATTCATTCAGAGGAGGTGACCCATGTAAGGAGGGAATTAGAAACCAAGTCTTGCATGTGACTAAGACTGGAGAACTTGGGGGTGCCTAGCCTAAAACAGAGCAGACCCAGGGGTCTCAGTCTTCGACTCTAATCTCTCCGACTCTCCTGGGCAGGGGGACTGGACTCTGGGTTTCACAGGAGGCTGGCCTTGGCCCAGTGGGATGAGGGACCTTCTTCCAGGCAAAGCCATGCAACATATGCAAAGGCCACCAGGAGAGAGGGAGGAAGTGAGCTCCCCCTCCCTGAGGGTGTGCAAGAATGGGCTAAATGCCCATTTGTCAGAGAGACTACAGAGGGGAGTCTTGCATTGGACTCCAGGCTTCAGCTCCAGATTTCACCCTTGTGTCTCCTTGGCTTCAGTTTTCTCCCCTGCCCCACTCCCACCCAGTCCTGTGTTCCCAGGATGGGGGCAGCAGTGGGCTTTCGTCCCGAATGCTCACTTGGCATTGCTTTCCCCAACCCCCAGTCTCCCTCGATCCCCCCCACTGCTCAAGGATGCAAACGCATTTTGGTCTTGGGATATGTCTTTGCCCCTGGACATCAGAAGCTGCTGATGCCAAACAATACAATCCCCAAATTGGACCAGCTGTCCTTTAACCCTTAGACGCTCCTCATCACAGCCCCGCCCCCCAGCGCCACACACCCGCCACCCAGCTACAGACCATCAGGCCCTTGCAGAAACACCCCGGCAGCCTTGAGACCCCTCCGGTACAGACACACCTGTTTCCTTATGGATTCACAGGGCCAGGGCTCAGAACCCCTGCACCAAGGCTACTGTGGCCTTTGGAGGTCAATTCTGCAGACTAAAGAGCGGGGGAAGAGCTGATGCCCCCAAAATCCCAAAATAAAGTCTGCCAACCCAGGCTCCTCAGACTGGGGTTCCCAAGACAGGACCCCAGCAGGCAGTGCTGGTTTCGGTCTGTTCCTGCCTGGAGCAGGGGGTGGACAAGCTGAGCCCTGGGGGGCCCTGCCCTCGGTGGAGGTCGAGATGTGTGCTGTGCAAGCTGGAGAAGAGGGCCGAGCTGAGGGAGTGAGCTCTGACGTAGAGGGAGAAAATTTTCAAAGCCACAGGCTTGGGACAGCTAAGTCTCCCCATTTGACAGATGAGGAAACTGAGGCTCAAAGAGAAGCAATGTCCCGTCTGTGGTCAGCCTGCCAGTCAGGGCAAAGCCAGGTCCAGCACACAAGTCCCTGGATCTCTGGCCCCTGTCTGGCTCCTGCTCTGCACCTGACCCCCAGCTCCCTCCCCAGGGGCTCAGAGAGAAGAGTCTGTCCTTTGTTCTGATTGGTAGGCTCCTCCACCTGCCCTTTACTTGGATTGGGGGCTGCCCTGACCTGTCCTTTACCGGAATTGGTGGCTGCCTGTCTGGCCTTTCTTCTGATTGGTCAGCTTTCTGTGACTCTTCTGGCTAAGGGCAGGATAATGGTGGTGAGGGTGGACCATATAGGAACTTGGGGAGAGTTGAGGCAGCAGCAGGGAGGGGGCTTCACATCCTTAGCCAGAGTGGGCTGGATGCAGACATGGCCCACGAAGCCCGGGGCTCTCACCTGGTATTCTTCTGTCCATCCACCTCCTGGCCCTGCCCTGCCCACTCCAGGAGTGGGGGGTGTTGGGTGCAGGAATTGCAGCTGGGAAGGGCCACTTCATACCTGGCCCTCGAGGGGGCCTTCAAGGCTTGGTCAAGTGCCACTTCCTCCCCAAATCCTCCCCAGATCTCAAAGCAACCTCACCTTCATTGCAGCAACTCAGGGAGCAAAGAGCTCAAATTCCATGAGGTGGGGGCTCAGAGAGCAGCGGAGAGAATCAGTGGGGAGCAGCTGAGAATGGGAAGTGGGGAAATTTCCGAGTTGGAGGCACAGGTGGGAAACTAACGGGGCTCAAGTCAAAGGCTAGAGCCCCAGAAATTTTAAAAAGAAGAGAAAAGGAAAAGTACAAACAGAGCCATACCTGCTCTCATGCATGTCTACAAGTGTCACACGTATACATATTGCCACGTGCACTCCACTGCCCAACATATATGCACACACCCTCACACAAACATGCACACACGGCTAAAAATGCAACCATAAATACAAGGCGCACACAAATATGCACTTAAGCATGCACACACACACACACACACACACACACACACCAGGCTCAGGGTGGGGTGAAGGAGGTCACATTTCCTGCCCTCGCAGCTTTTTGGAACCAACATCAGTATAAATATCAGCATAGCAACCTGGCAATTTCTCAGTCCCCAGGGAAGAATTTGTGGTGTGTAGAAAAGAGCAGCGATTTCCAGTCCTATCCCAGATTGACTACAGAAGCTCTGTGCGGCCTTAGCAGGCCCCTTTCCTTTTCTGAGCCTCGGTTTCCTCATTAGTAAAAATGGGTCCTTCTAGCTCTGCAACATATAGGTCTATGGTTTTGTGTTTTAATTCAGTGAGGATGGGTGGATGGATATGTGAATGGATGGAAGGATGGATGGAAGGATGGACTGATGGATGATGGATGGACGGACGGACGGACGGATGGATGGACGGATGGACGGATGGTGGACGGATGGATGGATGGATGGATGGATGGATGGATGGATGGATGAGTGGATGAAGCTTTCCTAGTTTGCCCAGCTCTCTACCTGCAGCTCTATGGTTGGAGGCAGGGCCACTCAGCACCATAGACAGTGCCACTCCCCATGCACTAGTCTTTCACCCCAGGTACCAAGAAAGGGGAGCGTGTTCTGAGTCAGGGCTCCTCTGGAGCCAGCACTGGGCCTGAATCAGCATTTCTGCACTCATTTGGGCAGGGTAGAGGGTCTGAACTAAATTACTTCTAACTCCTTAATGCCTAGGATTATATGAAGCCAGAGACCTTAGCCTTATTCCTCTGGTGCCACCAGCACAGGAACTGACGCCCTTCTTGAGGGTCAGTGTCACTGTCACAAGCTGCTCTCCTGTCTTATCTCCATGAGTTTCTATGTCTTTTCCTGCCTCCATAAACCCTCTTATTGCTCTCCCCACTGCCCAGAACCTGGAGCCCACACCTCCCTCTCTGAAAGGAAGCCTCACCATGTCCCTCTTGGTGGCCTAGAAGAAAGTATAACATCAAAGCCAATAGCCTAGTACCTCCCAAGACACAAATTGTGTTACTGGGACTGGCCACACACACTGATTCATCCAGCTCTGCTTGGGCTAGGTCCCTGTGTGGCCTGGGGTCAGGACTCTCTCTCTCTGGGCTTTGGTGTTCCCTTCTCTGAAGAGTTAGGGGGCGGGCCTTCAAGATCCCCTTGGACCTTGGAGCCCCACCCTCTCTCTATTCCTCTTTCCTTGCCCCTGGGCTGTGTCTATCTCTGGCTCCATTTCTCTGATCTCTCCTAGTGGGTCTCTCCCTCTCTCCATGCCTCCCTCTGTCGACGTACATCTCTGTGGCAGGCTGCTCTCCTGTCTCGCCTCCAAGAGTCTCCACGTCTCTTCCCACCTCCAAATCTTCTCTCCTCTCAGATGGCTTCTCATGCCATCTCTCTCGTGCACACTCCTGCCCCCACCCACTCCTGTCTTTCCTGCCCCCGCCTCCTCCAAACCTCCAAGGAGTCACCTTGAAAACTTGAGGAGAAAGTGCCTGGACCAAGGTGGGCACCCACAGAATGGGGGAGCCCAGGAAGGCGGCCATGGTGGGGGAAACTGGGGAAGGCCAGGGCAGATGCATCTTTTGCTTCCT